CTTCACATTTTTCTCCACAATCTACACCAGCTCCTTGCTGCTGATGGCAGTCAGTGTGATCCGCTACATAGGAGTAGCATTTCCTATCAGCTATCATCTACTGCAGAAACCTGTGTATACAATTGTTATCAGTGTTGCTGTTTGGCTCATCTCATCAGCACACTGCAGCATTGTTTTCGTCATCCAGCATCACCCATCTCTGGCCAGTAATAACTCCAATGCGTGTTATGAACAGTTTTCAGAGAAGCAGTTGAAGATCCTCCTCCCAGTACGTCTGGAGTTTTTCTTTGTACTCTGCCTCATACCTCTTCTTATTTGTGTTTACTGCTACTTGCGCTGCATCTCGATTCTGTACAGCCGTCCCAGGATATCCCAGATGCAGAAACAGAAGGCCATTGGCATGGCCTCAGGGACTCTTGCTGTGTTCCTCATTTGTGTTCTGCCATACAATTTATCTCATTTAATGGGTTACATCCAGGGACAAAGCCCAGAGTGGAGGTACTACACCTTTCTGCTTAGCTGTTTCAACACTTGCATTGATCCCATTATCTTCTACTTTTCCTCGTCCACCTTTCGCTTCTCAAGTGAAACATTCATTTTTAGGAAGTGGTTCACTTTATTAGGACTGAAAAGGAACAACAGCACCACTAACTAAGAGATGGAAAAATACTTTTTCAAAATTAAATGTACCATTAACACATTTAAGTTCACTGCTGATGATGATCTAATATTTTTCGAGAGGACTGTATTTTCCTTTTGAAACCATTTTTCCTGTTTTCTGCAAAATTCAAAGACATTTTTGTTGCATATGAAAATTTCAAAACTTTATTTTATTTTTTCATTCAAGTGCAAATATCAAAATATAAAATGAGCCCTGCTGTCCTGACACAAAACTTCCTCTTTTCTTTATTTTGGACTGGCCACTTTTCTGCATTCATGCAGTCTGCGAGTTATTTAGAAAGAGGTATGTTGTTAATTACAAACCACACACATTAAGTAAGAGGTGATGGCACTTCTAAAAGGCACCTAAATCAGGTTTTACATTTATTTTAGCAAACGATAAGACACATTTTTTTTTGTCAGTGAAATATGTGGGATTTAAATGATTGGAGTTTTTTCATTTGTTGTGTTTTTGCTCTATTTTTGAAAGCTTTTTCATATAACAACTGATTTTCTTTATTATTATCAATATATGGTAATTTATTTAACCTTATATAACATGCAAAGCTCATATGTAATATATATCACTGGGATATTAGATGCTGTAACTACAGTTCTCTACTGGTCCTGAACTTTGGACTTTAATTCACATCCAAATATCCGTCAGTGAATTTAAAAGCATTTGAAATGAGTGGAACTGTGTTGTTGTAAGTCTTAATGAAATAGATGCTAACTATGGAACCTTGTTAATATTGTTGAGATTATCCAAGCTGTCATAGTCCTGAGTCATTTTGACCCACTGTTCTTGGTTGTCTTGTGTTTTTGTCATTTATTAGTTCATTATTTATTCTAAGATCCCGAGGTTGTTCCGTTTAGTTTATTGGATGCCCCCTTGTATCTCTGCCCTCTGTATCTCCCTGTGTGTCCCTGTTTCACATTGTGGTGTGAGTTCTTGTGCTGTGTTTCCCTTCGTGTTTTATTCTGTTATGTTTTCCGCGTTTCTCCAGCGCGTCATGTCTGTGCTCTCCCTCGTGTTCCCTCGCTCCCTCGTCTGCCTCTCCTCCACTCCCACGTCATGTCTCCTGTTTTATTGTGAAGGTCCCACGTTTTCATGTTCATTCTGGTCAGTCCAGCCTCCCCTGTCTCGTTATGGTTATCCGTGTCAGCTGTGTTCCTCGTTTTTGTCACTTCC